TTTCGTAGCTCTTGTTTTTATTCCATCTTTGCCACTTTGGGCTGGCAACAAACTTTATTAAAAAGTATGCAAGAAATTTGTGCATCTATAGGTTGCCCGAATACCCCAAGGGCTGCGAAGGCATCCCCATCCGCATCCGGTTCTGCCTGAAGTTTGGACCTGCCATCCAGCCAGCCAGGCAGCCAACCATCCTGATCCTGCCTCAAGTTTTCCTGCCGACGCTTTTCCCTCTGCAGATTGACACGAATTGGCGAAATGAAATTGCAATTTCTTGTGATAAATTTCAATGAACATTCTGCCGAGGCGCAAAAGACGAAGTGAAAGTCTGGGTTGCGGCAACGATTTCGCTCCGTTGAGTGCAGTTTGCTGTATGTTAGCAGGCGGTTGGCAAATAAAAATTGGCCACATAAATTGCGTGCCAACTGATTTATGCCAAATAAATAAGAGAAACTCTCGCAAGCAGTTCTGTGTTTCTTTTCAAACTAGTTTGAATAGTTGTGTTTTTCGTGCTAAATGTTGCAAACCATATTTTCCATTTAGTGATTAAGTGGCGGTTGTGTGTGCATTTCAGCGATCAATGGTGTACCTTTGTTTCTTGAAAACTGATGAAAAACTTATCAAGAAGAACACCAGAAATAGTTTAATAGAAAACAATATTGTATAAATGTCTAAAACGGGTTGCATACGTTTTGAATCCATTTAGTTTGAGTCAATCGACTACAAAAATATCCTTTTTAAATATTTACAATGTGTGTGCCCTGACTACATGTGTGTGAAAGCAAATCCGACCTATTATTGCGCTTAAGTAAGCCACAATGACCGAGGACGTTATTCTTGACTTTTCAATTGACATTTAACATAGTAACTACTACATCCCACATACGAGTATACATACTACATATCCTTTTCATCTGCTTGCCATTGCAGCTGTCGCCTGGGCCAACCACCATGAGAGCCTTTCACTCAGTCCGGCGGAGCACAGTGTGGTGCGCTATACAAACGAATCCCTCATCGTCCAGTGCCGCAGTCCGGATCCAAAAGTGGAGCTCCATTGGAAATCGCCGAAAGGCGAAATTATACGCGAGCACAAAGGACGCATTCACATTGAGCAAACATCGGCAGGTAAGCATCAGATGGGATGGGGCTGCATCCGTTGGATTGGGCTAGATAAAACAAAAGTAAAAGCTGCAGGGGAGTGGATAGAGCAGGGGTGCAGGGGGTCAGGGGGTCAGGGTTCAGTGTTCAGGGGGTAAGTGTATACAAGGCCACTGGCACAACAAACGCAATTAATTGCAATTCTCTGCACATTCTTTGTAGCCGAATGCTCAGTGCTGGCAACATTAATGGAACAATTCCGACTAAGCTTTAATTACAAAAATAAATGAATGCGGAAATTAGCTTAGTCATTTAAATGTGAACAATAACCACCAATTAAAAAGGGTATTTCATTTATTTAGATGCATGCCCTAAGAATATATTCAACTTTAAAGCATATATATTACGTTCCAGCAACAGCAATCAATGGATTCCGTTTGTGTATGCAGATATGCGGTATCAGTTAGTCCACATACTTTGGGGCCAATATAAATATATCGCTTTTGTTTTGCCAAGCCCGTTTAACCTTTTTTCTATGTATTCCTTACTCAATTTCCCATTTTCCATTTCTTCACACCCTCCGACGCGTTTCGCCGTTTATTTCCCGAGCTCAGAACAATTGAAAATCGTTTTCGCCCATATCGCACTGGCCGACAAGGGCAATTGGTCCTGCGAAGCTGCTGATGGAAGTCTGCATAGTAAATCCTTCGATTTGATTGTGTACCGTAAGTGGTGGAGTCGCCGGCGGGCGTGAGGTCAGTCATTAATATTGCATTGTTTTCCCTCCCCACACACACGCACACACGCACACTCGCACAGAGAAAATTACATTCACGGAAAATGCCACTGTGATGACGGTCAAGGAGGGCGAGAAGGCCACCATCCTGTGCGAGGTGAAGGGCGAGCCCCAGCCAAATGTCACCTGGCACTTCAACGGACAGCCCATCAGTGCCGGCGGTAAGAATCCCCCTTGATAATGAGCATTTTGCATTCCAATCCGACCCACCCACCACCATGATGCCTCCTCCTGGCAAATGCCGAATGCCCAACTGCCACTACTACATATCTGCCCTTTTCCACCTTCTCCATTTCCGCCTGTGCAGCGGCCGACGACTCCAAGTTCCGCATCCTGGCCGATGGTTTGCTCATCAACAAGGTAACACAGAATGACACCGGCGAGTACGCGTGCCGGGCATACCAAGTCAACTCGATTGCTTCCGATATGCAGGAGCGCACCGTTTTGATGAAAATCGAACGTGAGTATGATTTACGATTTCCCAAACGTTGAAAACTGGTCCACACTGGGACCTTACCTTGAAATTTGGGTTCCCTATTCAGGATTATCCAAACAACTCTCTTTGCATTGTGTTTGTATGTGCAATTTCCTTAAATAATAAATTAGTAGTTATCTAAAGCTTTATTGGTTTTTGCTCATTCCTTAGAGCCAAGCATGACATTTTTGAACCTACCTAGACCCAGTGTGCAAAGTGGGATGACCTGTCGAAATTACTTGAGCACCGTTTTGTTCTAAATTTCGAGTTTGCGCTTAGTATGCAGTGCAGTGAGCGGTAAATAGTTTTTGAGCACGAAAAATTCTGGAATTACACTCGCGGCATGCGAACCGCTTTTGATGGATCCGGATGTCGACCGGTGTTCCTGATGTGTGGCCAGTGGGCGTGGGCGTTCGAATGCTAGTGCGAGTGGGCGTGTCGCACATGCAGCTAATGGCTTAACTTGGCCGGGTCCTGATTTATGGTTAGCGCACATGATTTTTCCATTTCCATGGCCTACCTTTGAGAGTCGCCTCGGTTTGAGCTGTCACTATGCCTCCTGCGGTTCTATGCATGCTCATTTTGATTTCTGGGGCACTTTAATTGGCTACAATGGGCCATAGAACAGAAAGCACTAACTGAAAAATGTCAATTTATTGGCTTAATTATTACGAAGCGGTCTTGCAGTGGCTTCTAAACGAAATAATCCTTATTGTTACCCGTGCAGACAAGCCCATGTGGTCCAAGACGCCATTCGTCAGCCTGAAGTACGCCTATATAAACGGAACCGCGACTCTTATGTGCGAGGCACTGGCGGAACCTCCGGCGAACTTCACGTGGTATCGCAAACACAACAAGCTGCACAGCAACAATAGGCTCTACACGATTCAGTCGGACAGCTACTGGTCGAGTCTCACCATCCACGTGCTGAACACCAGCGCCTTCGATAACTACAGGTGTCGTGCGAGGAATGACCTGGGCACCATCGAGAGGACCACGCGACTGGAGCAGGGCGAGAAGCCCCCGGCTCCGGCCAACTTTCAGCTGCGTGGCTTCAACTCAAACACCTTCGATGTGGTTCTGAGTGCTCCACGAGGTCCTCCGGACAGTCCCATGGGGGTCAATGGATTCCGCATCGAGTACATGACCGAAATGGAGTTCAAGACGGACGCGGGCAAGTGGACCAATGCCAGGCGGAAGGATTACGCCTTCGAGGAGGGTGAGTTTTAAGCCATATTAAGCCATATTTCTTAATAAATTGGCAAAATAAACACTCCTTTCATCTGTTTCGTTAACTTCATCTGTTTCGTTAACTTTACGGTTCCTTTGAATTTTAGGTGCAACATTCCTTCTGACGAACTTGGAGCCAGATACGGTCTACCTGGTGAGGGCTGCATCAAGGAACCTGGCCGGATTTAGTGACTTCACCAGGGTGGAGAAGTATAAGACACTTTCCCTGGAGCCCCGAGTCTCATCGGGGGTGGAGCAGACCAGGAATCTGTGCGTGGAACTGGGTCTGATGATACTAATGGTGCTGATGCGGCCGTTCGTGGGATGAATCTGAATCTGCAGGCGGATGAAGGATGACGGGTGATGCACCTAGCGGAACCGGAAACCAGGACCTTAAACCCCATGTGCTTTGTATAGCTGTAAGGCGTGTCCGCAAGGACACTTTTCTGTCTGATTTGCTCGGTCTAAGTAATTGGGTTTACTCTTAAGTTCAGTGCGTTAATATAACCTTAAAGAATGTTAAGTTTAGTAAGAATTTCTATTACGCTTTCAGTGCTTCGATTTGAAAGATATTAATGGATCACTTATAGGATATTTATATATATTTAAACAAATCCTCATAGCAGTTAGACATAATCAATAGTTTGTTGGCCTTGGCTCCCCAAAATTATGCTTGCTCAACTGTCGAGAATATTTAAACTTGAATTGGAAGTTTTCCCGCAACTCCCATGTCGTTGCCAAATCTTTAAGATATAATCAGACAGTTGCCAAATCTAAAAATGAACATTAGTTCAGTATAAACAGAAGCCTTCCGTCATTCCATATAAATACACAATCTTCAGCAAAACTCCATAACTATATACAATTTTGGAAAACCATCAAACGCATCAAACAATTAATATAAATATCAAAGAGCTTAATGACAGCATTTAAAAGTTTTATATGTCACATAATCTTTTTAATAGTCAAAAGCCAACACAAACATTTCCACGTGTAAATTACCAGTGCTAAAAAATACAGAATAAAAGATAGATGTAAAAATAAGCTTAAACATTTGCCACAATACAAATATTATGCAAACGAGAGCTGAACAAAAATATATATATATTTTACAAAAGTTATTTATACGTAATGAAATAAATGTATTTCAGCTAAAGTGGTGTACAATCTAAACCATACTACCTAGCCAAAGATTTAATTTTTTCTGGCTTTCGTTTGCCAATTGTGTGTGAGCCATAATAAAAGTTATGAATATCAAACCAAAATCTTTTCTGCTTCGATTTTTTGCTGTTTAAATCAGCATATTCAATTTCGATGAGAGGCCATGGTGAGTACATATAATAGATATATGTGGTTATAATGAACTCAGTTAAGTTGGCGTAGCATATAGTGTTTAATTTCTATCATTTGGCCACAAAGTTTTAAACAAAAAGCACATAGCATAAAAATGCTGCAAAATGGAAAATTCATTTCGTTATTGTAGTCAGAACTCAAACCAACCGCTAAATGAAGACTTTTATTTAGAAGACCAGATTTTACGAAATTCACAAAGAAACTATACGTTTAGCAGAGATCCGGGTAAGTAATGCTAGCCTATAATTAAAGCAAAAAATTTACATTTTTGTTTAGATACTAATAGAACATATCAGCGGTACATGGCAACCCTCGTCCGTGTGCAAAATGCCTTGCATCCAAGATATCCCCACAGCAGCACTCTAAATATTCAGGCCACACATAGCCGTATTTCAGGTGGTGGATTCTGCAAGAAATCCAATAAATCTGGAAAGGAAAAACAAAATAAAAAAAAGCAATGCCCCGACCAGCAAAACAAAACAGCTAAGCCTGCTTGCGAAGCCGCTAAGCCCTCAAAGCAAACTGATTGCAGCACGGATGATGAATCTTTCTGCCAGTGCAATAAAAGTGCAGCGGATAAAAGCCCGAAAAAACACTGCAATTCTATGCCGGAACCCAATAAGTCCCCATGCTGCAGTGGACATGAGAACCAGCGCAAGAGCTGTGTGTCCTTTGAAGAGCCCATGGCCAAGGATATTCCCACAGTTGATCCGCACTACCGGCACTCCTCATGCTCGGAGCCCGATGAATCCTGCCTTTCCGCCGTCAACGTTTGCTGTGGCCAGGAGCCACACGGGGATATCCCAAAACCACGTCCCGATGAACCGCCGAAAGAGATGTCCAGGAACCACGCAGGCTCACGAATTTGCATGAGACCGATGATTGTGGTGCCCACGGGTGGGGGAACTAAACAATTTAAGAAGCATCAATCTAAGAATACCAAAGCAGTTAGCCAAGATCACTCCAAGTCACATTCTGCAGCTCAGCAGAACCAGGCAAAGAGGCAGCTCCCTGAAAACGATTCTTCAACAAGCTGTTGCCAGTCTACAGTGGAAATCGAAGAGACTTGTCCAATTTCAAGCTGCACTTCCCATATCCAGGATGATTTCTGTTGTTTCTATTTACCAGAGGAGCCCCATTGCTCGACGAATCCACCGCCATGCTCCAACTGCCCAGCTATATGCGATTTATCCAAGCAGTTGGAGGAAATGAATCGTCGTTTGGAGGGTCTTCAGAGCCAGGAACTCTGCGATATCCGCTCGCAGGTGAATAGCCTGCATGCCAACGTTCAGAGTTTGGCCAATGAGTGTATTCAGAAAAAGGAATGCGCCAAAAAGCTGGTGGAGAAGAACTCGAGCACCTGCCAGTTCTGTCAAGGGCAGTGTTTGAACATACTTAATAGTTTCCACTGCCAACTGATGGACTGTATTAGGGATCGTTGCCTGACAGACCTTGTGATAACCTTATTTCTACGAGCAGATAATGTCTATCACGTAAATGTTAGGGATCTGAGCTCTGGATGTTCGCTTGGTTGCTTCCTGGTCACTGATGCGGGCATTGAGGAGGCCATGGAGCTGGGAGTTTTCCAGGAGATACTCACCTTCAGTGTAATTGATGTGCGGAATACCATCAAGTCGAAGAACGGCCCCTTGGGCATCTCCTTTGAATACCATCATGCAAGTCGGCAGAGCGGTGGTTGCGACTCTCCACTTCGTGGAACTTGCATGGCGGGCAAGGAATACATCTCCAGGGTTCTCGGTCTTCCTTTGGAGCAGCTAGAGTACGTGTACTCCATTCCACAATCCTATAGCAAAAAGATACCCAGTAGCCATTTGGGAGTCGAGCTACCTGCAATTCAGACACACTCAGTTTCCACTCAAACAAGATTGAAGAGAAAGTCAGTCAGGTGGTAGGAAAGCTGTCAAGGAAACGATCAATATGGATGCAGATAAACAGGAAATGGAAAGGGCGAATAACTATACCCCTTAGAAACCAAAAATGCTATTTTAAATTGTAGCAAAAGATTTCGAACGGCCCACTTAAAACCTATTTTTCAAATTTTTAATAAAAGGCAACCCGTTTTTAAATACATGTTTATAGAAATGCAGCCTTGCAGAGAATTTAAATATTTCTTTAAAAAATCAAGTAAGTCTTTAATGTTTATAACATACCAAGAATGCAATTCAAATCAGAGTAGCGAGAATAGAGAACAATAAGGCGCAGATCAAAGGAAATTCTAATTAGCTTCAATGAACCTAACCGTACAGGTTGCATTGCCACTTGCACAACCGCACAGACGGACCGCATGGCAAATGGTTCATTTGGGCAAAGAGCGCGGTTTGTCAATCAGCCACGTCAACTGGGGCTCAGCTAAGGACCCGCATATGCGCTTTTGGGCGGAATGCCTTTTTGGGGGCTTTTGGCAAGGAATAGGAGCACTGCGATGACAGCCGCATAAATCAGTTGAATGCCACACGTCGGATTCGGATGCAGATGCGGATGCTGATGCTGATGCGAATGCGGATGCGGATATGCGTTGCGACTGGGCACCATATTGTGCGTGGTGACTTTTATTGCCCGGCCGCGCGTTAAATATTTTTCTGTCTACGCACGGACATGGATGCCCCGCCCCGTCATCATAGACATTTCCCATTGCCATCGCCATCCGCATCACAATGAGCAATGAACGTCACCATTGTTTGGGTGCGGCTCAAAACAATCAGCCCGGCTATTTAATTTCCAAATGAGTGGAGCAGGCCGTCGAATCATTCGGCGCAGCGTGAGTTCAAATGACTAGCCTGTGAGCCCGCCGGCTCTCAATATCAACACTTTAAGTCAACGGTTTGGGCCACGACAGCTGAACCAACAAAAACGGAGTACAAATAAATGCTGCAAAAAATCAACATTCGTCAATTTTAGGCCTGCAACCGCCAATCCGCCAATCCATCGACCCACCAGCAAGTGGGTCAGTTTCCAACTGGCTTTTAGAGCAAATCAACGCGAAATCCGCTACAGGTCATATGCCAACCGACTCAATGGGGGGGCGAGGCCAATCGGACAATGCAATTTCCATGTCAGCGGAGAGTTTTCCGCTTTCCCCAACTATCTGTTTCCTTTCGTTTGGCTTATCGAAAGTTCAGCGCTCAACATTTTTCACTGCAAGCATGGCAGTCAGGCTTTCAATTAAACTCCAAAGCTGTATTTTTACGGGCGCAGATTTTAAATCTTGTGGAAATCGGCCCACGTTGCTTATCTGTTTATTCCCTCACATGTCTTAAACTGATAATATAAATCCCTTTTCGTAGCCAGTAATCAGCATTAACTAAGGAAACAGCCGCTGGCGATACGAAGATTTAACAACATTTACCTAGCCATAAATACACACTTAACACGTTTTGCAGACGGGCTGACTTGCATCATTAGGAATTCCATCAGTGCTTCATTATTATCCCCCCACAACACAATGTTCCACATTTTCTTCACTTGGTTTTCCGCGATTTTCCGCTCGTTGAAGCTGGTTGGCCAGGGGAATACGGATGCGGATACGGATGTGGATGCGGATGCGGATGTCGGTGCGGATGTGAATGTGAATGCTTTTGCAACGACCGCACGCCGTGTCAATAAATGAGCGCAAAGCATTAAATTGTAATTTTTTAATTACACACAAAAGATTTAATGACTGCGGTGGTAATAACACACAACAGACGCTGCCACGCCCCCTCCGGGCGCCCGCCCTTGTGCAGCCCGTAATTACATAAAGCTGAGCCAAGAAGACGACGACTATCCACAGACGGAGATAATAGGAAAATGGCGAAAATTAAATTGTTCTTCTGTGCTCGCCAAGTGACCAATTAAAGCGAAACGCCAAAGAGCAAAATCTCCGGGTTTCTTTGCCCGCCAAGCTGGAGCAACAGACCTCCGGGGGTTATGTCCTTTTCGCAGGGATCCTTTTGCTCTGAGATTTGCGCCGGCTACTCGGTCCCTGCCGTTTGCTTAGCAATAAAAATCATTTCGCGCTTTCTAATGATGCCACTGAACAACCATGGCGGCCAACTAAATTAGCGCCGTCGGCCTTTCAACAGTCGAGATATATAAATATATATCGTATACACAGCCAGCTCTTCGGATGGAGTCGTAAATAAAAGTTGGTCCACAAACCAACTAATATGCCAGAGATGGCGGGGCCACAAATCTTGTGCAAAGTAAATGCATCGGTGCTGTGGCCCCTTTTTCCCATTTTCTGCTGGTTTCACTTGCTGTTGCTGAATGTTTTCGTGTGTTTGCTGTTTGTTGCCAACACACTAATTACCGCAATTAATTATGCTGCCTGCGGAGCCAAGTCCGTCCAGCAAAAGGACCAGGAACAGGACCACCGGCGGCACCAGTAGCAGGATCAGAATCTGGACCCGGAAAAAGGGTAAAACGAAACCAGTACAATTTCCCCATTGTTGCCCCGCTTTTTGGCTGCAACTTTGCCCGTGTTTCGGCCTTTTTGTGAGCGCTTTCTATGCGGTTGTAGCCACTGTCTCAAAGCGCATATCAAATGATATTGGCCCAATTCACAGGGCATCCCAGATGAGCAATTTAAATTGCTTAGCCAAATGATAATGATAGCATGTGCTGCTACTAAAAGTAATTAAACGTAAACAGCTTATTATAATAAAGCCCTTTATGGCAATCTACTTTAAGCAGTGGGTGTCAAATTGTTATAGGCTTAAAAGCAAAACACTTTAAATTTATTTAAAAGAGGATTAAGGAACAGCTGAAAAACTGAACAGAAATAAACTCTTAAAAAAAGGCAAAAATATAAAATTAAGCGGGAATGAAATGTTAGCACATTTGAAATGCTTTAAGTTATTGCCCGGAAAATTAAAAGTCCTAGTGTCATTTGGAAACAAAGTTTTTGTTAGCATTTAAATCTATAAAACATTTTAAAGAGATATGCAGAGTTATTTGCTGATTGCAGTGTTTTGCAACTATCATGAACTTAAATAAAATGTCCGTTTGCCAAATGCCGAATCACAGAGCGACCATTAAGCAAATCAAAAAATGTCACACAGAAACAATTTCGCAGTGCTCGAGCAAATGGCAAAACATGTTTGAAAATTGAAAATTATGTTCGAAATGCACTCAGCAACAGATGGAGCCTCGTAGATTGGATGAATAGGGACTCGCAGGGGCAGGACGAGCGAAAGGAGCTAGGGAAACTCCACATTTGTGCCACGTTTGTTTCTGTCAACGCAATGAAGTGCAACATTTTGTATACTACGTTCTGTGTGTGTGTTGTTGCTTTATGCGAATGTTGTGGCAGCACACACACTAAACTATAGATATTACAATGATGTAACATACATAAGCAAGCACCTTTGGCAGCAAACTGAAGCCAGCCACTTCATATTGTAAATTTGGTAGAAAATATTTTTAGTGTCGCCAGGATTTCCTGTTTCCATCGTTGTCCTGGCAGGAACTGCCATTGTTGCCCACCTCCTGCTGCTGCTCCTCGCCCTTCGCACATCCCAATCTGGAGCACTCAGCTCTTTGTGGCACAAAGTGCTGCTCCTGCCCGCTTGGCACCTGTTTGCCCGGGCACCTTTTGCGGTTCCCCCGTGTCCTGGAGTCCTGGAGTCCGGGACTCCGGTACTCCGGCAGTTCTGGAGTGCTTTTGTATGCATCCTAATGCAATCCTTGTTACTGCGTTTGTTTGATTGCTTCCGCATTGGTGCTGGCCACAGTGTGCTGTCTTCGATTTGCAAGCTTTAATTACTGCAAATTTTCAAGTCAGTCTGTTGTCAGTCGATGATCGAATACTCGGCATTGATCCCAGGCACCTATCTATGACTTGAAATATTCGAATTCTTGCAATCAAGAAATTTCCAAAATTAAACACCTTAATTAAATATGAAATATAATTTGGTCAACTAGATCTGAGAGTCATGGTGCCACTGCAGAACTTCGGTATAAATCTTTAGAAAAACTGTACAGTAAGGCGATAACTTTCCGAGTTAATTTGACAAACTCGAGTTGGCCTGTATTAAATTGCAGAAATCCGTGCGCCGAGTTCCCATTTAACTTGCGCACTCATAGCTCCATCCGACTCATATTTACACAGCACATAAACAAGCTGCACGAGCAGCTGCACTTGACTAAACAATACACAACTTATATGCGAGTGTGCTGGGACCTAGACTCCAAATTCGATTTCCAGCTAGCCAGCGAGTTCAACGAGGATCTGGCTTTGAATAAGAAAAAAAGAAAAAAAGAAAAAAACAACAATAAGCGAAAGTTACAAGATGGGGAAATCCCCAGCTGGCTGCACATGATTTGGCCGAGTTGTCGCTCAAGCACGCAGCCAATCAATATCAATCGCAATTCAATTTCAGTTTCAACTTGAAGCCAGAAGTCAGCGGATTGTGTCTGGCTTGGCGATTTGAAAAATAGCAGAGAGCACTTTTCGCAGTTGCCAGTAAATTACTTTGTGGAGATTTGTGTGCTGGAACCGGGGAGCAACTGGCGTCCATAATGAGCAGCTGCAGTCACTCGCAGGACGATGATTTTGGGACCCTGATTTGGACGCCGATGCTGGCGGGAATTCGCCAAAGATTTGTTGCCATCAAACGAGCGTCCGAATTCGTGTGTGATTGATGCGGCAAATGCATTTCAACGCAAAGGATTCGTGCAGGTGGAGCAACAGGCAGCCGATTATTAATGGTCCTCGAAAGTCCTTTGCCAGACTGACATGCAAATTGCGAAACTTCCGGAGCCCCAAGTTTCGCCCCCGTCGACTGGAAGCAGCCAACGCATAAAGACGGCACATAAAAAGTACTACCGCCAGGAAGTCAACAGGACGAGTTCTTCGGAGGGTCCTGCGGGAGAGAAAAGAGCCATGCAAATAAGTAAATAAGCAAACAGAACTGTCAAAATGGGGGGGAAACAAACTATGAAGTATGCCAAGCAAATGACAACATTGAAATGATAGACAACTCGAGACACACTTCATGAACAAATTAGTTGGGGCAAAGAAGTCAGTCAATAAATTAATCTCCTCTTGCTATAGTTTCTAGTTATTTAAAAATAGCTACTTAAAGTACAATTCTCTGCT